AGATTATCCTTGAAGTCAAAGTTTTTATGTATACTATTCCAAAATTTGTATATTTAACAAGTGCTAAACCTGTAGTAACTGTAGTTAAATACTTTAATACAAAATTTACTAATAGGTATATAATTGTATATTGTGGACCTTTGGGGTTATTGGTCTATATCTCTTTCATTGACGCTATAGCACAGTACGATTAACCTAATTATTGATACGAATTACACACAATCTCAAAAAAATGTTATTTGGTAAAAAAAGCTGGAAAACTCAAGAATATCGTTAAAAGTCATAAATGAGTATATATATAAAAATGACTTTTTAATATTTTTAAATACTAGGCTTGATCTGAATATTATACTTTTAGGGCATATAACTGAAATATGTACGGAAACTCTAAATTCTAAAAGAAAGGCAGCCAGTAGTTGTACTGAGTGATATCTTAATATTAATAATTTACAAAAAATTGTTCTAATAAATTTTTGGGTACAAGCCTGTGAGGTTCGGTTTACGCATAATTATTAGATACTGATTGGATTGTTGGAACTTACGTAAAGGTTATTAAAGGAATTCTAACAGGATATTGTAGGTTGATTTCTAACCTAAATAAGCCGGTGCCGAAACCAAATTTGATCTGCAGATTCCAGTGACAAAAGGTCGATAATAAATTGAAGTTAGATAAAATAATACAATATTACTGATTATTGAGGAAACATAACTGAGAGACCTATTTAAAATCAATGATAGGAGTTCAAATGATAATAATAATAATTGTATAATGAACGCATTTTCTCTGTGATGAAATCTAGAAAGTTTCTTGAGTAGATTTCCTATTTCTGAAAGAACAGTTTTTGTTTTTCGTAGAATAGACAGAGTTTTTGATGTTCTGGAGTAATTTAATGTAAATTAAATCATTTGTAAATAGTATTACTTTATCCAACTTCTCTTAAGAGGACTAAATCTTATTAGTAAAATATATTTTACATAATTATCTTAATTTAGCTCTGCAGTTCTATATGTTCCAGTTATATATTGTGAGGTCACTTTCTAATCTTACTATTCATTTTTTGAGTTATATTATTGAATATATTTTCTTACATAAGCTTGTGGTTTCTCTCTATCCAATTGTCTACAGTTTCTGATACTGTATATACGTATCAGAACTATAACTTCAAAGTTGTTTTAATATATAATCTTTCAGAAGATCATAAACAACATTAAATTTCTATCTGTCAATTCTTATTTTATTTATACTTTAGGATATTCTTCAAAAATGAAAAAATTGGACACCACTCAGTGATTATATTTGTTGTAAATAGAAATTTAAAGATAATAGAAGTGCATACAGAATTAATATATATGTCTACTCCAAAAAAAAAAAGAAATGATTTGTCGGTGGTTTGTTTAAACTTGGCCGTCCATATCTTGAAAACGAACCAAAACGTCTAAAAAATACTTCAAACCAGAAATCATTGTAAAAATATATGATATATTTTTGGAAGATCCCAAGAGAGTTAATAGCATATCTAGGCATATTATTAAACAAATTGTGTAATATTTTATAACAAGCACTAGGTTTGAAAGAACTGTGCACATTGTGGGTGTTCTGTACTCTCCTTTTGAATTGAATTTCCAATTACCGGCATGATATATGCTAAACTTAAGCCATAGAAACTATTTTTAATCAATTTGACCACAAACTAAATATAATATATATTACATTGCTTGAAACTTAAATGTTTACATGAAATGTCATTTTCAAGAAATTGCGATTTTAATTTTAAATGATCGACAGATTATTGATAAAATTTTTAAACTATAGAATAATTAAAAAAAATCAATTGATCGATTAAATAGTTTCTTAGAAATTACTGCATTTTTTTTAACTACATTCATTTTTCTAATAATCATCACAGAAAAAATAATAACAATTCATTTAATTAAATGGCTAACTCGGTCTAGATCGAAGTAGACTATTAAAAATCTATTTCTAAACTTTTTTATTTATTAGTTGGGGTTATTTCATGAAGCATGTATCAAATTTTTATAGATATTGAAAACTGATATTTCAATAAAAATACTATTTCATTTTGGAACTTGTTCTATCCAACAATTCTTGGGCCACTTCTTCTTTGGGTCAAAGCCTTTATTACCAAACAAAATTTGTTTAACAAATGCATATAAAAAAAGTTTAAATAATTACTTGAATAAAATATGATGAAATTAAATTAAATAGATGAAATTAAAAAATTAAAAAATAAGGTTTTATACTCTCTGTACAGTAGAGTACTATGACTTGTAGTAACCGTATGACGGCTAGAATGTTTTATCTTAAAAACTTTCTGATGTTAGACGGAGACAGGTATACTCACATTCGAACAAGCTTCTTGACTTATGGTTGAACTGTCAAAGAGAATATAATTAGACATTATATCTTTCATTAGGTACTGACAATAATCTGTCTGTTCAAATGGACCTATCATTCTGATATGGAAGTGAAGATTGTGACGACCTGTCAAATAATTTGACAATAAGTTTAGCTCTACATTGTTCAGCTCTTGATCTAATTCAAGCTAAACTGAAACCCTTTTAGTTATTTTTAATTACATATAAATTATATCACATTCCATGAAACTTTAATATTTACATTATTTATATTACATTCCATGAACTAACCAGTTTTTTCGTTTGGAGGTTACTTCACATGGCGGCCTTTATTTAGTTATTAAAGAAAGCCTTTGTTGTGGACCAACAAATATTTCAAAAAAGCTTCAGTCCATAGAATTGTATAGTTAAAGTTTGTTTTGATTACTTTCTTTTTTTTTTGCGTTCAATATTTACTAGAGATCTATAAACCTATCGCCTCTATTACTACATCGCATACATATGAGGCTTATCATATCATATCATAAACTAATGGTACGATATTTTTTTAATTCGATATTCTTCCAGATATTAAAATGCAGTTGAAAATCAATAAATAGATGAATTGCCAAGAAGTTTATCTAGTGAACAAAGTAGAATGAGCTAAAGTGTTTACAGTAAACAAAATTCGATCCCGAGTATTCGGGATCGCAAAGAAAACTATTCTTTAAATGTACTAAACTTTAAAACTAAGTACTTCATTAAACACAAGGATGTAATATCAAAACGGGACGGAAAGAATCATTGGACTTATAAATTGAGTCACCACGTCTACAAATCACCCACCTAACAGAAAAATAACTGACGCACGTCGCACAAACATCGGTAACATTATGAATATAATATAGTATACATAATATATATTATATACATATGGTATAAAAAATATGTGTTATGTTAAAAGAATATAGCAGCCTTATATTTATTATATTCAAACACTAATTGGCTGACTTATCAAATTTTTTTACTTATTGTGGAAATACTCTGCATTATCAAGCATTTGGAACACCTGTCTGGAAAAATCTTTCTTCAAGAAACTCAAAGGACTATCGCAAATTAATATTACGAACACCTTAAAATTAAAAAAAATTAAATAATTATTAAAAATGACAGTACATATGTAATTGTTAAGGAAAGATACATAAAAATAACGCCCGGAAACTAATAATATAAATGTAATGTAATAATAATGTAATAATAATATAAATGAATGATTTATATTAAATCATTGAAATTAAATTGAAATGAATTATAAACTAATATTCTTTTGGTTAGTTTTAAAATTTCTTAACATTGTATGCTAATTATATCTGTAAAATAATATAAGCTATAATAAGCTATAATAATATTTAAACATTTTTATATTGTGAATAAAAATTACTTTATTTATCCCAATAATATAATTAAATTAAAATAAATTATAAATTATTATCGGTTACAAAAAAGGGGTAAATGAAATTATTAACGCCAAGACTAAGCAAGTCTGTCCATTCTTAAATCCATCTACAACTAGAAAAATAATTAACTTGCGTACGATTGAAGACTGGCAATATTGTATCACTTGTAAGTGTAAGTGATCATTGACTAAGGCTTCGAATTATAACTAATGATTTGTGCGTGCTATGCTATAAGCCAAACGAAGCGCTGCTATTAAACCTAGGGAATAAACTTGACTACACTTTTTGGAAAGCCCTTAGTTTCTAAGATTTCTATTAAGGAAATGGAATGCGCCTATCTTTTAGTTGATGGATCTTAAACCTTGTTATTGATAGCCGTATATGTATTAAAATATAAACCAGACTATTTTCTGCTTGGGATTATTATTTGTGATAATTTGGCAGTAATCAAAACAACTTAAAAAGTTCAACTTGTTCCTAATAATGTTTAAATAAATTTGGATCTAGAAAAATTGTTTACCCAGAAGAGTTAATCTTTTAGCAGGGACTTCCGTGAGGAGAGTTTTTACTGTATAATCACTTGATGAAAAAATGATTCTTCCATATTCTTTAAATATTATTTTTTTAATAATTTTAATCGAAATAAATTTAATAAAAAAATTAAATTTTGTTAATAAAATCATTCGAAAAAGCCAAAAAAAAAATATATACCAATTTTTTAAAATAAATAAAATTAATAAAAAGAAATTTCAAACAAAAAACAATTTTGAAAATAATATTAAAACAATATGAATTGCATAGATAATGCCAATTATATATAACAACATAATTATAAAATTTAAAAATTAAACAACAAAAAATTAATTTTTTATGATTTCATTTTAATTTAATGATTAAATATGCAAATTACAAATAATTTTTGTTTTACAAATATTCGAAATATTAAGTAGAAATATAAAAATTTTTTAATATATAAAAATGAATTTTTAATAATATGAACATTAATAAATATAAAAAAAGATAAATTAAATTGATTTTTTTTATTTAATAATTATGATTTCGAAAACTTATAATAATAATTTTCATAAAAAAGATTAAGATACGACAAATACAAAAATATAATAAAAGCAATTTAAAAATTATTTATGATTTTAAAACAAAGTAAACAGTAGGAAAAATGTAGCATTTTTAATGCAAAAAAATATAACTTAAATTCTATATAATAGAGTGGCTTCTGTATGAGAATGTCTTAGAATTAATTTGAAAGAGAAAAACAGGAATACCTTAAGCACACCTCATATTATTATGAAGCATATCCTGCATCCTACCTAACCAAGTGCTATGAAATGATGTGGCCAATGTTGCCATTGTTGCTGTTGTTGCTGCTTTTGCTGCTGTTGATGACGATGAATTGGCATTTCTGATGCCGCTCGTATAAGTAGTCACTGCCATTTTATTATGTATAATTTGCTGCTCTCAGATCGCCGCTTGTGGCTGTTGTTGTTGTGCTTGCGATTGTGGTTGTTGTTGCTGCTGTTGCTGTTGTTGTTGTTGTTGCTGCTGCTGCTGTTGTTGATGTTGCTGATGTTGTTGTTGTAAGTGTTGATGATAACGCGTAGGCCACTGATGTGGATGTGTGTGGTGGTGATGATGATGATGATGGTGTGAATTTGATGCAGCAACAGCAGCGGCTGCAGCTGCAGCATGATGCCCACTTGCCGCTAATTGGCGTCAAAGGTAAAATTCCGGTGAACTATCGGAACTTAAATGTTGCTGTCCAACCGTAATGACGCTAGCAGCAACCGCTGCAGTAGGCATACCACCACTGCCACCATTTGCCGTAGTACTACCATTAACGCTAGCACTTGAACTACCAGCAGCCCCACCGGATCTCATTTGTAGTCTTTGTCTCAGTTGATCACGTTCTTGACATACGCGACTATATTCCAATTTAAGACGGTGAAGATCCTGACTCAATTGGCGATTGGTTTTCTCCAATTCGTGTCGCTGTTGCAAACGTTTTGAACGACAATTTTGTGCGTAGCCACGATTTTTCAACGTGCGACGTTTCTGTTTGAGACGTACAACCTCTTCGCGTGGACAACCATGTAAACGTTTATTTAGTTCACGTACTGTTAGTGTGGTCAACAAGTCATCATTTATACAATCTTCAACGCCTAGATTACTGGAAGTGCTATATTGACCCGAGCATGTACGAGGTGAATTAGTGGAGGAACGTGTTGAACTAACCGACATTGGCCGATTACTGTGTTGTAAGCTATTGGACACGCCAACGCTATTTAATGAGCTGCCATTGCTATTTAGACTGGTACTGGCGCTACTAACAATTCCACTATGATATGGTGTATGCATATTAATTGGTGCCAAATGTTCAAGATGATGATGATGGTGATGATGACTCGGTGGTAGTAGATGATGATGATGATGGTGATTTGCTGCAGCATGTGCTGCGGTCACTTGCATATATTCACGATGACGTTCCCATTCTTCATCTTGCGTGGTTAGTGGTCGCAAATCAAGTGGTTGTGCATCGGAACGCATTGAATTTGGCAGCCACATCATTTCTTGTGTAAGACCTGCACTAGCGGTGGGTGCGCGGTGGGTTGCATAATGTGCGCCAGCAACAGGAGCGTAATTTTGTGTACATGTAGGCGAACCAACGACAGGTGGAGTTTCGGGTGGTGTAGATGGCACACCACCGGGTACTGATGGATTCACAAGTATGGCTTGACCGGCCATTGGACCGTGTGTATATATTTCCGGCGGCGGCGAGAGAGGCGGTGGTCTACGATCATCAAATTGCCAAGTTGGTGGATATGCACGTATTTTAATTGGTGGCTCAACAGATTCATCGTCTTCGGCTGTTGTTGTTATAGCAGATGTCCAAGCAATTCGTGTCGACGGTGGACTATGATCTTCACGTTTAACACCTATAGGAGTTACCGTTGATGTACCATCCTCTAAGTGATCTAGTACAAATTCCTGAACGTATTGTTCGGCGAGGTTCGTATCTTCCATTTTCATTGAAATAGATTTTTTTTTCAAAGTTCTGGCACGCACAGATCGTTCTTACAAAATCTCAAGCAGTTCCAAGCCCAAGTGGGCAAAACTTCCATGTAGTTTAATTGCGCCAAGTTTAAGAAACTGTTTCAAAATATTTTATTATTTTATTTGAATTAATTTACAAATTCGTTTTATTAAATTATTTTAACGAATTTTTAAAAAAACTGTTTTTTTTTATTATACAAAGTACTTAAAACGATCCGCTAATTCCAAAATAAATTTTTGAAATTAAAATTTTTTTTTTCTTATTTCACTATTTTTTTTAATATTTTTAACTTAAAAATACTTAATTTTAATTTTAAGTATTTTAAATTTTTTTCATAAACTAAATTATTTTCCAACACAATTTAAATAATTTATGATTTTGATATTAACCGACAAAGATTTTTTTTAAAATAATTTTTATGTTTAAATAATTATTATTTAGTATTATTAATTTTGCTTTAATTTAAACAAATAGTTTGAATTCAACAATTTGTTTATATTGTGCACTTCGGAACACTTAACATTTAATTTTAAAATTTTGTTTTAATATTCATTACAGTAATTAGAAGTTTTTTTATTAAATTTTATTTTTAATTACGCGACGTTTTCCGTGCTTGCAACCAGTTTAAAAGAGTTGGCGGTAAAGACTAAACCCAAAGGTATCCGTCTATCAGCGGCAGAATGGCCGAGTTAAGTACTTTTCGCAGGTATTTTATATTATGTATGCGCCGAACTGAAGAAAATTATAAATTGGTGCTGTTGGTGACACACATTGCAATGAAACGTCGCTGCTCGAATACGGACGAAACTGAATTGGAGCTTACTGACAAAATAAGCATAAACCCACCGATACAAGTACATAGTTGTGCCAAACACACACATACACTGTCAGTGGTAAATGGTAAACTTAACAGAATCTTTTGCATACACAAACACACGTAAACTGTTACATCCGCTAGTAAAAAGCAACAGCGAAGAAGTGCTAAAATAACGAACATTTAGACGAACCAGCAAACGAATCCGAAGAAGCGCACGAATGGGCCACCCTTTCTTTACGTACGTTATATACGCTGTGCATTCATTGTGCCGGTAAACAATCCGCCCTCGCCTCTGTTAACCAAAGCTAAGGAGAGTGTAAGAAACCATTAAACACACAATGATGCTATGCTAAAAATCAAACATGCTGTGCCAACGCTGTAACGAAATGTTTGTGCACAAACACTTGTTATCTATAGGTATATGTGTGACATGTGTGTGCAAGTGTGTTGAAGGGTTTCTACACATAGCAATATTAGTACTATACTAAGCTTTTGCATAACAGACTACAGTGGGCCCTACTTCTAAAATAATTTTAACAAAATGTTAATTTCACTGTATTTCAATTTTTGTATTAATTGGTTATGTATAATAAATGAATGAATTGGCATTACCATTTATTTAACTAGCAATTAAATTAACAAGCAAGCAAATAAAAGATATATTCATACATATAAATGTATATTGTATAAACATTAAAAACTTATATTAATATTTTTATTAAGTATTAAACATAATATATATATATATATATATATATATATACATATATATATACACAGTCAAACTTCCATAACTCGAAGTAACTCGAATATCCTCATCTTACACCCTAATTTGTGTTCTTAAATATTTTGGAAACATTTGAATAGTAAAAAAAATATAAGAAAAAACCCTTCCCTTTATATGAAATATTAAATTTCATAATTTGTCAAAAGATTTATCAGTGTAGTTGTCTGGGTTTCTTCTATCTTATGAATTACATTCAAAATGGCAAGGAAAATTCCGTCACAATGGGCTTGAAGATTAATACTTTCATTTCCAATATATGCAATATTTTCTCAGACTTATATTTATGTATTTTTGTAATTTTTTTCTAACAATGTGCATAGAGAAAATTTTTCTGAAGAGTAAGAGAGACTTTGTACCATATTTCATATAATTCTCAAAAATTTTCGTGTCACTTTAGGTTAAATTGGCATTTCTAGGGTAATTTTTTCACCCAACATTTAATTTAAGTACAGTTTTCATTTTCGCTTATTTAATCTTAAACAAAATGTATAACACTGAAGAATAATTTATAACACCCGAGATATTTGGTTAGATTATTAAAATTACGCAGAAATTACCAACTGTTTTATGTTATTTGACAATTGACATTGATAGTTGACATTGGGATTACTCTAAACGTGTTCAATGGGGAAGCAAAATTCAAGTAAAAATTGACAAGTCGGTAGTAAACCTAGATTGCCAATCGAAAACGACAGTTGTAGAGTTTTGGGTAAAGTCTATACTCACTACACACATACATCCATATATTAATTCCATCATTGGTTTATTTGTTGAAAGCAATTTAAGCATGATAATTAAACTATTAAAAATTGAACTTAAGACAAAATTTTTTTTATCTTTAATAATAATTATAAAACATATTATAAAAATGCATTATATATCTAAAAATAGAATTATTTTAATTATGTAAAGCCAGTTAATGATTTCGATCTAGCAAATGAATTTGTAAGTGAATAATTCTTTTACAGTAAATTAACAAAACTTCAGAAAAATGTGCGAACATAAAATTCAAAGTCAGTTGGTTTAGGTGCGCTGACTTTGAGCTTCAAATTTGGCAGGGCACGACTTCGATTCCTGGTACTTGCAATCTCAAAAACTTATTTGCGAATAACTAAATACAAGAATTATTTTTAAAACCACTGTTGATGGGTATTTGGCAATACTCGAAACAGCTGTATGGTCAGCCAAAAATTCAATTAATTAAAATAATATAAAAATGAACTTTGTTGTTGTAGTTCACTATATTTCGCAAAAACTTGTTTAATAAAATTCATTTATTATTAAATATATTATTTTAATAATATAATATAATTTAATTAAATTAATAAATCAATATTGCTTATTATTATTATATTACGAGTATTGCAAGTAACATTAGAATTAAATTAACTTTCCAAATTATTTTTCTTAAGAGAAAATCTGACATTATTCACTTTTGCATAAAAAATTCCACAGTGCAAATTCAAGCTAAACTCGACCATTTCTCTCCTTACAAGCCGTCAAAACAAATATCTATGTAGAAAAATTTTCTATTCTCATTTTCCAAGAGAACTTTTTGAGTTTCTCTTTTAAACTTGCACATGGTAGAGCTTTAATCTACCGAAGTAAAGTAAACAAAAATTGTTGAACGTGTGAGTGAATGTGAAAAGCTCTTTGTACGGGTATTTATTATTTTGCTTTCTTCTTACATTTGTTGCGCTACATGCAGTGTGTGCTTTATTTGTATTGGTGGTGGCAGATAGAGTACTTGCAAAGTGGCATACCATATTAAAGTAAGTGTAACGTACGCTTTACAGGAAAGTGGGCGTTTGAATTGTTGAAACAGCAAGCAACAACAATACATCAATACACATTGAGATACTTATTGAAATTCCACACTAAACACAGACACAAAAGCAAATTTTATTTTATAGCGACTTAACAGCTCCGCCCATTTGTTGTAATGCTTTTATGCGATTACAACAATTTAATGTTTTTGTTGGAGTATTTGTTGGGGCAATATGCCACTCTTTTTTCGCAATCAATTGGTGTTTGCATGTGTGTGCGTTGATTTTCATACAAACGCTCATGCAACCCCAACTTTTTTGTACTGATTTGGAGTTGCTGAACATTTTTGGTTGGATAAAGTTTTTGCGCAAAATCCATTGGAACGTTTATTGGAGCCTATTTTATCCGCGTATATAGGTGGCAGGATAAACAGCATATATAATACTGTGTACTTCCAATATTCCAACTGGAAGTCGCACTTTACTCGCATATGAGTTCTAGCGACAATAAGCAGCACATAGCCCTTCAACCTTGCAGTGTAGTCACATATACATAACACATACCTAAACATACAGTTGGCAAGAGCATAGAAGTGATTTGTACGTACGAGGGATTGCAACAGATAAATTTAAATAGATGGATTGGACTTGGAAATATTAGAACTTGCATCGATGTGTGCAAAATTCGCATATAAAGTAAACACTAACAAGTCTAAGAGGTTTTAAAGATTGATTTACTTTAAATAGAACATCTTTTTGTCAAAACACTTTGATTTAATCAGTCACGAAGACTACCAATGAAGGTCCACAAAAGGTCGTAACGGGGAGTTTTGGATTTCCGAATTTTTAAAACTAATTAATTTTTACAGGTTCCTAAAAATAGGCAATGAGTAGACAATTGTAACTTGTAGAATTCAGGAACTCTTTGAAAACTTGTTTTAATGACATGTGCTTTAAAAACGGTTTTATAGAAGGAACTTGGGTAAAAAACTTGGGTGCGCCTTACTTATTCTCTTAGTAAATGTTAATACACTTTAAAAGAATTAATTATAGATATTGGAACCAAATTGACCTTTAATATTCAAACTTTTTACGATGATGGGTGCTCAAACATAACTAGATAATTTGGTATTCAATAGACTTTTTCGTATATATGTATTTGTCATTATTTAGTAACTTCCATAAGAAAATATTTATAAGAAAAGTTTACCGAATGCCGAACCACCCACTTTAGTTTAAATGTCACTAAAAATTTAAAAGAAATAGTAAAATACTTTACTATATATCCAAAAACATTAAAATTTGAGGAAAGTAATATTATATTACGTTTTTCATATATACGTATGAATAAATATTCTCAAATAAAATATCAAATTATAAATTTTTAACATATCATCTAAAGAACTTGTGTTTTTATACGTACTACACAGCATCACTCCAAAAGATTCTAGTAAAAACATTTTTCTAAAATATTCGAAGTTATTCGTCTAAAAATAATATTTATTTACTTTTAGCAGATGGTATAATCACAACTCTATCTAAATTATGACCATGCTTTCTGGCTTAGATGATTTAATTTCGCCAAAATAGCCTCTCGCTCTAATCCTCTCTCTCTCTTAATTACTGGCATGGGGTTGTTTCCGCTGCACGTGGCTGCAATTTTCCATGCTCATTCTTAAGAGATGGCTTTAGTGGGTTCAAGTCTTACACTGTGGCTTTCGATCCTTTCCACCTACTAAAAAAAACAGATGGTATATTCTATATCCATGAAGAA